TCTCTTTTACTTTGCTTTGCTTGAAGTCTGTTTTATCTGGTGTCAATATAGCTCTTTCTGGACTTCTTTGGTTTCCATTTGCATGAAACAGGTTTTTCCATCCCTTCCCATTCAGACAGTGTGTGTCTTTATAGGTGAAAGAGTCTCTTGCAGGCAGCATCTTGTTGGCTCTTGTTTCATAATCCACTTAGCCACTCAGAGTCTTTTAATTAGGGCATTTAATCCATTTGCATTGAGTTATTATTGATATACAGGGACTTATTACTACCATTTTGTTCCTTTTTTTCTGATTGCTTTGTTGATCCTCTTCCTTTTCTCCAGTTTTATTCTCTTCCTTTGTAAATATGTGGTTTTCTCTAGCAGAGTATTTTGATTGATCACTATTTATCCCTAGTGTGTCTCATATCTTTTTGCATTATGGTTACCATCAGGACTACGCAGAACATGTCATAGTTATATTGTTTTATACTAATAACTTTAAGATCTAAGAAAAAAGAACCAAAGCCAACTCTATGCTTTGGAGTCATCCACCCCCATTTTGACGTTTTGATGTTTCAAGTTATGTCTTTTAATATTGCTTATCTTTTATATGGTTGTTGTATATGTTAATGTGTCATTAGGTTTGTTGTTTGGTCTTCATACTAAGAATGTAAGCGGTTTATTGACCACACTTATGACATGGGACTGTTCTGAGATTGTCTGTGAACTTACTTTACTAATGAGTTATGTACCTTCACATGTTTTCTTGCTACTCTTTCATGTTCTCATCTTTCAGACTGAAGGACTCCCTTTAGCATTTCTTATAAGGCAGGTCTAGTGTCGATGAATTCTCTTAGCTTTTGTTTGCCTGAGAAAGACTTTATCTCTCCTTCATATTTGAAGGTTACTTTTGCAAGAGAGAGTTCTTGGTGGACAGTCTTTTTCCCTTAGCACCCTAAATATATCATCCCATTCTCTCTTAGCCTGTAGGTTTTTTACTGAACAATCTGCTGACAGACGTATTGGGGCTCTGTTGAATGTTGCACGTTTCTTTACTCTTGCTGCATTCAGTATTCTCTCCCTGTCTTTGAGTTTTGATAATTTGCTTATATCAAATTATATTTGCCTTGGGGAGTTCCTCCTTGGGTTGAATTTGATTGTTGACC